TAATTTTTGTAATTTGAAATTATATTTGATTAGTATAATAATTTATTATTTGAATTAAAATTATATTTTATTAATAAAATAGTTATTATTTTTATTAATTGAATTAAATATTATTAATTAGTTATATTTTATCATTACTTTTTTGAATTCTTTATTTTTTGATTATATAATTTTTATATAGATTAAAATAGAAAACTTTTAGAATTTTAGTAAAACTTATTTTATATATATATATATAATTTCTTAATTCAACTAATTTCTGAATTATATAAGCAAAATCATTATAATTAAGCAGGAGTTAAAAAGTTCTTAGTTTAGAAAAATATTAAAATAACTAATTATTATAATATAAAGAAAAAAAGAATTAAATTATTGATAATAATAAATAATTTTAAATTATAAATATTTAATCTTTGAAAATAATTTATACAGATAATTTAATATAAATTATATAAAAAATAATATGATGTGAATTAGTTTGCTTTAATTATTAAGTCAAAAAATAGGATAATAATATTTTACATAAAATATAATTAATTAAAGTTTCTAAAATTATTAATAGTAAAAATTATTTATAAATAATTTATTTCTATTTATTTATTATATTTTTTAATATAAAGATATACATATTCTTATAGTATAATCAAGTAGAAGAAAGAAATAAAGAAAGTAATATTGAATTATTTTTTTGTTCTGCTCAAGGCTAATCTAAATTCAATTAAGTATCTTTGAAATATTTTGGAAAGATGAGATTGTATATAGTCAAAATAGCTCAAAATGTATAGTTATACTGAAGGAAGAATATAATTTAATTCAGCTTGAATCTTTAAATTAATTGATAACATATCTCATAAAGTTAAAGCTGTTAAAATAAAAAAGAATATTCAATTAAATATTATAATATAATATATTATAACTCTTTTTTTACTGGATTCAATAAACTTTATTACATAAATAAATTAAATTTGCAATATTCTTCAAATAATCTTTTTGATGCTGATCATTTAGAATATCCATCCTATATATATATATGTATTATCAATATGTTATCATTTACATATAGTAATGCATAATTATTTGAAATAACTGTGTTGTGTGTAAATGCACAATCTAAAAATATATAATTGAATGGCACATTAATAATGCACACAATTTTATTATATTAGTATATTCTTCTTCTAATATTATTAGAATAGAAGGATTAACATGTAGATAAAGGGTTAAAAGCTTGACTATATGATTTACAGATAAAATATTTTTTTAATGTTAATATTAAGATCTTCTGTATATATAGTTTGGTTTGAAATAATCAATATAATTAAAACTAATATTGAATTAATTCAAAGAGCTTATTGTAATGGCTTCACAATAATCAAAGATATCTTATCCATTACTGTACACAAGATTTGGGATAGTACTTTAAATTTAATTATTTTCACAGCATTAAAGTAGTACTTTAATAAGAAATTTTTCCACACTACTTTTTTAATAGGCCAGTGCTTGTCTTTATATACAGATTTTGTTTTTGATTTTACTAAAGTAAGTAATATAAGGATATAGGTTAATATAAATTTCAAGAAAAAGATAATGTTAAGATAAATGTTTAAAAATTGCTAAGATAAATATTAAGATAAATGTAAAAATGAATATAAAAATGAATGCTAAAATAAATGTTATAAGATGACTAAAATTATAGAATTAGAGAGTTTAAAACTATTATGATAACAACAAGTACAAGTCATAACATTGTCGTTATGTTTATTACTTAGTGTATGAATTGTTTGTGTACACTACATTAAACACTACGTTCATACCAGTAATTAAGTGAGTCCTCAAATGAAGTATTAGCCAAACTATCGGTAGAAAGAAAAAAGAAATAGCAAAACAAAAAATCAAATGACAAAAACAAAGCATCAAACTAAAGGTTATGAGAAGCATTATTAATTTAAGAAAATAAAAAGTTGTAAATGACCAGCCAGAAAAAGAATACATGCTTATCGAAATTGCGAGACTAAATAAATGCGAGCCCATAAATGATGACTGTCCGTTAATGTTATCATTAGGCGGATTGACATATAATAAATGGTAATTTGTTTTTGGCAATAAAATTTTGGGCTGTAAACGTTTTTCCTGTAATTTCCTAAACTCTATATCGGCAGCTTGAAATCCATACCTATCAACATTCTTCCTCATATACATGGACACATTCCAAGCTCGAATATGATTGTAAGTTTCTTGAGCAGTTGGGCGTTTAGCAGGATTCGAATTCCAGCAACGTTTCATTAAATTGATATAACATTCAGGAGCAATTCCACTTGGAATTTCAGGTCGCATTCCATCACAAATATCAAGCAAAAAAAAAATATCATCTGTTTTACCATAGAACGGAATCCCACCTGTTGCCATAATCCAAAGTAACATGCCAAAACTATATATATCCGCTGCACGTGTATATTCGCAACCACGTATAACTTCTGGAGCAATATAAGCTTTCACCCCATAAAGTGGATGAGGTATTTCTCGTTCATTTAATGCATGAGATAATCCGAAATCAGCTATTAAAGTCCATTCCTCACCATCCTCAGCTCTATGCTGTAATATATTACTAGGGTGGAGATCGTGATGAATGAACCCGTTTTGATGAATGAACCGCAAGCCACAAATTATATCATATAAAATTCCTAATTTTTTCTTCCATTTCATTGTTGCAAACCTTTCACTCAGATAGGCTAGTAAGTCTCCTTTATTTGCATAATGAGTTACTAGCATGTATTCGCCGGTAGATGTTTCCCTGGTAATACCGTAACAATGTAAAATTCGACGAGAACGAAACTTGTAATTCGTTTCGAGCTGAAAATAGTAAATCATTATGAATGATCCGAAATTTTTGTTTAATCATATAATTTATAATGTACTTTTCTTACCTCATGCATTAGATGTTTGTGATTTAAGGATTTTTGATGCAAACGCTTTAATGCTATATTTGTTGGTCCAGCTCGTATCCATTTGTGTTCATTTTCATCCCAACCCCATCGTGGTCCCTCTTCCCATATTGCTAAATACACCGTTCCAAACCCTCCTTTATCGATTTGTTCAATAACCGTAATATGTTCATATGGGATGAATTCAAAATAATCACGATGATTCGAAGACTCTAATTGTGTTTTCCGTATAAATTCATCATAATCTTCATTTTTACTTGTCCAATCACTAAATTTTTTTTGAAATTTTTCGCATTCACATTTCTTACACCAGTGTAGACTCATCATTTGCATATTACAATGCTTGCAGATTTCCGGTTCTGCAATGCCAGCATTGACTGTTTGTTCGTTTTGTTGTATCGTAGGCATGTCGCAAAAGTCATTGAAAATTAATTTCAAATCAATCAATTTAAAGTTACTCGCCGTAGTTATATTCATTCAATTGCAGACAACTTACTTATAACCTCGAACAGGAATTTTGTGTTATAAAAATAAAATCACAAAACTATTATTTATGTATATAAAAGGAAAACTCGCAATAAACCATTTTTCGTAAAATTGATTTTGATTATTAATCATGTTAAATCTCTTACAAAGATCTAATCACCCTATCAAATTATAATAGATGTGGCATAAATGAAGTTTATTCAAATATTTTTCATATGTAACGTTTGACACCCGGAGACTTCAGTTTTCATAAAGAACATGGATTACCTCGGGATTGTTTTTGATACAAATATTTGCTTGCTTTTCTGTGGGTTTAATTTGGGCATGGATAATGAATGTACTTGATGTAAACATGTACTAGTAATAGTTCTAGTGAGTTCACGATCCAGACCGGTTAGTGAACTGGTTTTTTGTCCCATTTCGAACCAGCATATGGGATGCCATTATTTAAAGTGGCTTGTCGCAAATAATGAATTGTTAACCCATGGGCTGCAATCATAGTTGAAAAAATCCTTTATTCTCACAATGATTTACTGGTGATTAAAATAATTCATAAAACAAGTTCGATTATATGACATTGATATTTGGTCATTTCAAACATCCAGTCTGGACCGAATCATCCCTGCTGTATAAATGCATTAATTGATTGTTTTTTATTGATTCATAAAATGTATGATCCAGCTGGACCTGGTCCGACTTATGACAACTTTCAGTCGGAAGTTCTCATTGTGAATAATCTATGCGTCCAATAATAATAGAGAGAATTTAATTTTTATTTCAATCTACATGTACATGTACGTGTATTACGTTTACATACGCATATACATGTATCATCTCCTTGTTCTTGTCCAATGCTTGCTGCGTCAATGTTTAACGGAATGGTGTGCTCTCCTTTCGTTTCAATTGGTCACAGCAACTTTGTGTGAAATTTGTAATCAAGCTCATTGAACAAATCTCTTTAAAACCCATATTTATTTATTAAATGACCGCAGCTAACACAGAGACGCATTAGTAGCGGTAGTGATTGTACACAAAATTGTTCCATATCATTTGATGATATTAAAGTGCTAGAAGGAAGACCTTGAGTGAGCTTACAGAGAGTCATAAATGAAATATGGAACGATGAAATTCAAATAAATCAAAATAAGTAGAACCACCTGATTTTATTTGGCATAAGGATATTCGAAAAAGGGTAATTATGCTAACAGCACTTTAAAAGCTCCGAATTCTTTCGCCAAATAAATTATATTCAAATTATTCCATTTCACTTCTACCACGATCGCATACACGCTGTTCTGAACTTGTTAAAAGGCACACCACAAAAAATGCTTAATTATTGGAAGAAACGAATAAATACATGTACATATTCATGTACATGTACTAGATACTTTTTACAATGGATGCGTTCAATATCGATATGGAAAATTGTCCCGCAAACATGGTAACATAACACAATTTACTTTAATAGAATTCTTTTAGACCGATAACTATTACATTTGTACATGTATATGTACAAAGGGAACACGACTACATAAAGTACATGTATTTATGACTTAATCATTTATTTCAATTTCATTCATCGTTAAAAATAAATGTATGTGGAATCCCATCAGATACACGAATATATCCTCGATACATTCCCAGACTATTATATGGCATCGCGACTACAAATTTTTTTATTGATCAATAAAAATTCATTCTTAGAGTGACGATGAAGTATAATAATTAAAATTTACCATTCCCATATTTATCCACTGCAATAACACCACCTTCCCCACCAACTTTTCTCATCTCCTCAACTGCGTTTATAGCAGCATCAGCTACATTCTCTCCGAGATATTTCACTCGTGCGGCGACATCTTGAACGATTCCGAATCTTATGAAAAACTTGAAATTTTACAAATAATCATATAGCTTAGAATTTCTAAAGTTTATAAAGTCTTATAAATTGAAAGAAACATACCTCACCATCGCCAGTTCCACTAACACCGCATGTCTCATTGTCAGCCCATGTTCCGCATCCGATTAATGGAGTGTCGCCAATTCGTCCATCTTTTTTGTTATTTAAGCCACCTTAAATAATATTTCAACATATCTAATTAAAAAATACATACCATAATGTGCGCTACTACACAGTGAAAATCGATATAACGGACCCTCTGTTCCTACCACATTGTCCAATAACAAATAAATTTTATAATGTAATTTATAACTGCTTCCGAGAAATAGCACGCGTTAAAACTATCCGTCATATCGGTTTTCACTGTATGCTATACAGAATAAAATACCAGTCGAAGTAGCTGAGGCAATAATTCCATATTTATCAACAGCGACAGCACCCACAGTTCCTTTGGGACTCGCATCAAACTCGTCCTTCAATAACAAAGAATTTGGCGAATCTGATGTAAGTTTCTGTCTTTCTAATCCTTCCATATGTTGTCGCCAACGTTTCTCTGTCCAAAAGTAGCCTGGATCCACAATTTCCAACCCCTTATCTTTAGCGTATTTTTCAGCTTCCGAACCACCAAGAAATACATGACGACATTCCGGATCGAGAAGTATCGTTTTTGCTAATGTAATTGGATTTTTTACGGTGCGAAGCAGTGTGTTTGCTCCAGCTGGATGAAGCGGAGTACCAATCATAATTGAGGCCTCTAATTCGTTCTTTATAGCATAAAATATCATATCAATTTTGAATTCTATGCCATATAATTAATCTGAGAAATAATAACCTTTCCACTGATTGAAAATACGCTCCCTTTTCCAGCATTAAACAGAGGGCAATCTAAATAATCGAGATAAAATATGTTAAAATCAAATACAACAATTAATGCTATCTTTATTTTTTTTACCTTCCATAATTCTGACAGCCGCTTCAACAGCATCTATGGAGCTACCACCATCCAATAAAATCTTATAGCCGGCAATCAATGATTCCTCAAGTGCTTTTAAATATTCGCGTTTTTCCTTTAGTGGATAATTTTTGCGTATCATAACTCCTGCGCCACCGTGAATAACTAACGTCGGACCATGATTTATTGGATTTTGAACGCTTTTCTAGAATATATTTTTCTTTCGAATTTAATATATATTCAAATTTTTACGGAAAAACCAAAAATCAAATTACCGTCTCGTCAATAAATTTCATTTTTTTGTTAATTTTAGTTCTAGAAGAAAGTTTTTTATCAAGAAAATCTACAATCGCGGCAATACAGCTAACACTAACCATTTTTTTCTTGTTTAAATAGTTAAGGGTGTAATTGAATTTTGTTTGTATGCGAGAACGGTTGCAATTTTGTCTATTGATGCTTTTGTCTATGATGCTTTTATCTACATTGATGATGCATGCATTGGCTGCCAAATAAATGCACAATGTAGATGCACAGAAATAATTGCAATTTGCCTGTTTAATCTCTTTTTTTTAACCGTCCAACAATACGTCATTAGGGTGATGAATGTGGACTATCTCAAGCTAATACATGTATACTCTAGTGACTCACATTAAATGTAGAGAAAAAAAAACGAGATTCAAATATCTTTTTATTAGCGACAGTTTTTATGCTCAAAATAAAAAGCAATAAAAAAATTTTAACTTCTTTTGTGTACGATATAATCTGACCAAATTTGACAGCGAACTTAAGGCTTTAAAAGCAGAATCAGCTTATATTTTTTAATTATATAACACAAATTCCTCAGTTTAGCAACAATTTATTAATTCCAATGCCTCGAGCTTCACTATCAAGACATTCCCACATATACATACTCTGCCAAGGAGGATACACGTTCCGAGAAATTACAGCATCAGAACAAATAAACTCGGATTCAATCCTATATACAAGAAGAAAGAAGAAACAGGAAGCTTTGAAGATAAACCCAAACCTGGTCATCCACGCAATATACTGTCAGACTGATAACATCCAGGAAATGTTCTACTGTCGTTGAAGTTAAACACAACCTCAAAATGATTTAGAATTCAATTAATCTGTAGAAAGCGTATGGCGTATACTTAGAAGATATGAGTATTTATCAGAATAAAATTTAAAAACTATTACTCAAAAAGACATACAGAAAACGCCGACTTGCTTGGGCAAGGAAATATCAGAGATTGGACAGTTGTCGGACAAAAACAAATGCCAAATATTTGGATCAAACGGGTTAAAATGCTATTGAAAGTAACATAACGAACCTTTAAAGACTGACACATTACGTCAACAATGAAATTTGGCGGTGGTTCAATTATGATATGGAATTGCATGAGTGCTAACGAATTGACGAACTCAGGAATCGATGATAAAATGAATACAGATGTTTACGTCAATATATTGAATACAAATTTGCTAGGTTCACTTTTGGAGATTACACTAGAAAAGGATGAAATTCTTTTCTGATAAGATAATGATCTGAAGCTTTTTCCCAGAAAAGCAAAAGATTGGTTTCGAAAATGAGCTCGCAGTTCTTGATTGAAAATCTATGAAATCAAATCGATATAATCTTACTTTCTAATATCAATGAACTGTGGGAAGTGCTTGGAATAGTATTGACATTGATTTTTGCGAAAAGTTAATATAGAAACTGCCTAATACATGTAATAAAATTTATTATGCGTAAATTAAAATGATTTAATAATTCAGTCGCTTCATCGGCCTTACAAAATTAATTAGATCGAATTCTGAGATCTCTCTCCACTCCTCTATTATAAATAAATTTTCTAATTCAAATTCTTGAAATAGTTATATGTGATATCTCAAGGCCTTTTTGGCTTAATTTTTAACCAAGATCCTTGTTGATAATTGAGATATATATTGTCAAGAGTAGGGTTGTTAATGGAGTGCTCCAGTTTATATTAAAACATATAACCCACTCTGGGACTGCTCCGGAGTGGGTTATATGTTTTAATACAAATTGGAGCACTCCATTAACAACCCTAATCAAGAGCCTAGGAAAAAATTGCTTTTTTGCCAACCATTGCCTCCTGCATAGTCTACGGTCCTAGTTTTTATTTAATTTTCTAATGTTATTAATAGATAATAGTAAGTGGAACTTTGGTTTGTATATGGTGCATAACATTTAAAGTCATCAAATATTTTGTATTTTATAAATTCCCAAGTCATTCCAGCACTTCGCTCGCAAATTTGTTGCTTCCTAAAATAAATGAAATCAAATTTGTATAACTTCTTGACTAAAAAATAAAATTCAAATTCAATTCATGAATATGATTAGAAAGACTTATTCTATCATATTTACGGATTAAATTTTGAATTTACCTTTTAGCTAAGAAGTTTTACAATTTATAAAATATAAAAATTAGATGACTTTAGATATTTTCACCATATGTAATTTCTATTAAAAATATTAAAATAATATCAAGATAAAAAGATATTAAATACTGAGTTCAAGTATATTAAATTAAGTTTTAATATTATTTACTGAAAATTATAAGTAAATTTGCAAATAATAATTAATTTATAAATATATTATAAAGATTAAAATAAAATATATTAAAAAATCTTATTAAGAATATAAAATAATTAGATATATATAAGGACTCTTATAATTATAGAATAAAAAGATCAATTTATTAATAAAATATAATAAAAATTAAAAATTTTCTTTATTATGAAATATTTTTTATTTTTATATCAAAATAAAGTTCATAAATAATAGTTTAATATATATTTTTTCAGATTTTTTAGATTTTTTCTGAAAGAGTTATTCTAATTACAAAGTTTATACAAAAATTTTTACTAATAAAAAATAAAATTTAATTAATAAAAATTTTGTATTGACTTTATAATTAAAACAATACTTTTAAAAAGTCTAAATATCTAAAAAAAAATATATGTTAAACTATAACTTATAAACTTTATTTTTATATAAAAATAAAAATTATTTCTTAATAAAATAATAAGAGAAAATAAAAATTATTTCTTAATAAAATTATAAGAGAAAATTTCAATTTTTATTATGTTTTATTAATAAAATTAATCTTTAATTCCATAATTATAAGTTATTATAAGTAATAAAAAAAATAAATAATAGAATTTATTTTTTATTAACTTTATATATAATAAAAAAATAATTTTAATAAATAATTAAAATAAAATTATAAGCTTTTATTTGATAAAATGATTAATAATTTAATTACAAATTTTTATTTAATAAAATAAATAATTTTAATAATAATAAAAATTAAATTTACTTTAAAATTACTTGATATCTTATTAAAAAATTTAATATTAATAAGTATTTTTATATTATAAGTTAAATTTTTATCTAGTAAATAATTAAAAATTTTTTAAGTTATTTATTAATAAGCTTTTTGCTTATAAAATTTATAATATATATAAATTATTTATTTATAAACTAATAAATAATTAAATAAATTCTTATATTATTAATTACTTATCAAGATTATAATATAATTCTTATCATTATCAATTATTTTACAAAATATATAGTGTTAGAATTCTATACTTAATAATCATATAATTTTGTTTTAATTTTCAAAAATTTTGATCTAAAATTTAGATTAGATGAAAAAATTGATTTATAATACTTTACAAGAAAATCATATAACTTTATATTTAATTATTATTATGCCAACCAATGAAATTTAAACATATAATAACATAAAAAATAGATATATAATTCAATTTCTATCTTTTCTTCTCACTTTCTTTTTCTATTCTCATCCTCTATTATTCTCTCAATTATTTTAGGCAAGTGATAATATGATTTAAATTTATTAATAATTCACTTGGCAGTTTTATTCTTTAACTCTTTATTATATATATCCATATATTTCTATAACTTATATGTGAATTTGCAAATGGTTATTACTAGAATCATGAAGAAGACTTCTGAAACTTATTTTAATAAGTTTGCATAATTATAGTTATATAATCTTCTGATTTCTCACTTCATAAAATTCTAGTACTACTTTATAAAGTTATACTCATAATAAAACTTTGGATATTATTTGAAAATATATTCTATTTTAATAATTATCTTCTCTAATATTAATTATTATCTATAAAAATCAGACTATTATAATGTTATTTATTATATATAGTAATCTATTCTTTCATAATTATCATTATATTTTCTAAAGTACTATTTATATATTAAATAAACTTCTTGTTCTGGCCAAAAATTATATTCTTTAAGTACTTACTTTATGTCTTTTGATTGATCTCTTAATCTTATTACTGAATAATCATCCAGAAATACTATTGATTATATGTAACTCTCTTCACATTCATTAACATATCAATTATTACATAACTTAGACTATATATTATTAAAATTCAAGTTTATTCTTGTCATGATCAATATATTCTCACTTATAGTATTATGATTATTTATTAATCAAAACAAAAAATGCTAACACACTTAGAATATAATATCTCAAATATTAGAATTATCTTATACACAAGCTAGTCTAATATATACTCTGATTTTCAATATCTATCCATTTATATAGACAAAAAAATAAAGATCTTCTTATTCTTAATATGTAAATTTACTTGCAGCTACTTATCAAATAATCATAATAGTCAATGACATATACAAAAAAAAGCTAATATTATAATAGAATATTCTAAATATTTAGGATATAGAACATCATCTTTCTCTCAGATTCAGATTCTTCATCATCTATTATTTGCATAAAAGTTATATATAAAAATTTGACTATTTTCTTTATAAGACTTTATTATAAAATATCATTAATTAACTTCTTCTAATCATTTTTATAAGTTTATTACAGTATTAACAGATAATAGTATAATATCAATAGTTGATAATAAGATTTGAATAATTATTAGAGAAAACAAGGAGATAATAATATGACTTTTGTTTAAAGTATATATCAAGCTTTCTTATTTCTTTTGCATATTATTCTCATTCTCTTTTTTCTTTTTTTTATCTTTAGTTCATTATTTTTGAATTTTTGTATATATTATTCTAAAACTATTTCTGACTTTCTTATACTAACAGAAAACTTCATGAATAAATCTTTTTCCTATCTCTTTAAATTCTTATAACTCTTTTTTCCTCTATTTTTCAAGAATTTCTTATATATTAGTAGCTTCTCTCTATTCATCAGCTTTTTCTCATCTGTCAAAGACTTCTTGTATATCAATAGTAATAATAGTTCTTTATTCTTTCTAAGATATAAAACAGTCTTTTTTCTAGATAATTTACTTATCTGCTATTATCTTTTTATAT